CAATATTCAATTGACGCAACAAGCAATACCAAAACTGAGTGCATAAAAACTTTTAACTTCCAGTTAAATGCACTACTTCTGAGAACTCTATAGCATATAGGTTCCCTTGTTTCCAAAACTAATTGTCCAACCCTGCAATAGCTTTCGCTTATGTCTTACGGGCAGATGCCTAGGCTTCCAATACACGAGGATCCTCTAGCCCAACCCTGCGCAGCTTTTGCCATGTCTGACAGGCAGGCTTGTACAGTAGGACTCTAACCCACTTTTCCAAAACAAATGCAAAACCAATACAAAATGAATGCAAAACCAATACAAAAACGAACGCAAATGAGAAGTGTCTTACCAAAATCCAGGGTATGTCGCGAAGAGCCTTACAGATCGGGGATCGATAGGTGTCCCCGAGAAATCCTCGGTGCCGTCTGGAACCGATCAGGTCCTTGACTCCTCTGGTCTCTCTCAGCGAGGTCCCATCTGGGTCGCCAGAAACTGTCACCAAAATCTGGGATAAAATAACTTATCGACACCAATTTGATGCAGATAAGCAGACACTTCTTTATTGACAGCCAGATGTGTAGGGGAGTGCTCTCACCAACACCACATGCCAGGAACGAGGATCATACATCTTATATAGAACTTACACATATTCGTTAAGTCTTCATACACAAACATACAACTTCCAAGAAATCATTAACATATTCTCCTCCTATTGCTGATTCTGCACAGTAAAGTTTAGAAATGTCTAGAAATGTGTCTGGGGTGTAATGTGAGTAGGTGGTCCATGAGTCGGTGGTAGTGATCTCCCCCTGCCAGAATTACCTTTTGCTTAAGGACACAGTTTTCTTGGCAGGTACCTGCAAGCTGTTACCGTTACTTCCCTCAGTTCCCATTAATCCTAGACCTTGACAACTACTTGCATTCTTCTAGTCCTATATGTATTATTATATCAGTTTACAAATCACCTTGTGTTTTGTTACCTAGGTTCTAACCGTTCCTACTAAAGAATTATGACCAATCCCTTCGGCCTTGGTACGGGGCTGTACAGGGAATTTTAGAGTAGCAGTCAGTTGCTAGATTCAAAATACAATAAATGTAAAATAAATTATTTTGACTAAAATATCTCTTAGCTCTAGACATATTAAAAATCAAAACACAATCACACACATTTTGATCAGTTGATAATAAAATCAGTAACAATGTCATTTGCATTACTGTATAGGCAGATCAGAGTGGCATCTAGTTGTGCTGATTTCCCAGAATGTCCAATTACTTGATATCCTTTGGAATCACCTCTTAGCAGAAAGCTGTCACCTTGACTTTCTCAGGCACTTTCTTCACAGTGCTATAAAAAGCCAGCTGAAAGTAGCTATTCTGCCACAATTCATACATCTATGAAGAGAGCTATAGTGGATTTTTTTGTTTGTTTGTTTGTGCCTCCCTCTTTACCCATTTTTACTTTAAGTGATAATTTTAATAAAAAACACATGCCTTCTATTTACCCCTGTTTGACACTAAGAGTGCTCAGGAAGGCAACACACCCAATTTTGCAAGTTGGTGTAATGCTGCACCTTCTGTAATATGAAGCACTGAAAGAGGTTTTAGACTATGATAAGTATCATCGATAAAAAATACTTTAAAGGGACTAGATAAATACTGAGAAGTGAGGAGGTTAAACTTGTAATCTCACTATGAGAGAAAATGCTATTCACTGCAAAAAACCATTCAAAATTTTTTTCCTTTTATTGAATGCCTTTCTATAAATATAGACATTGCTTGGATTTATACAGAAAGGACTAGTTCACTTTTGTATGCAGTGTTCTGAGAAGAATTGAAGTTGGTAACCCATTAGAGCAAAAGGTGAAGAAGTACATTAAATATTTTGAGTTAAAAGTAAGAGGAAAGGAAAAGGTGATGAAAATAAATTTGAAATTAAGACAGCCTCTGAATTGCTTTAGCTATCAAAGTATGAATACCGTGAGATTTGAAAAAGTGAGATTCTTGGAGATGAAGTCCAAAGCTTGCAACACAATGATGAGACTGAAGACAGAATCACACATAATGAAATGAGAGTAGGAAGGTTTTGAATACTGTTATTTTAATTCTGAGCTGATTTGATGGTGAATAGGCTCCTTGTGAAATTTAAGACCTCATGTGAGTGTTGGCAGCCCCTTTGGATGAGGCTCATGTATGTACACTTCAGTATTGTGTGCTATAGATCCTTTACAATACACCTTACATAAAAGGAATGTTAGAATGTCATCTGGAATATACATTTGTCCATCTTTTTCAGTAGATTTATCAGAGGAATCGTCCTCTACCTGGGTCGAGGTCTTTCAATGTAACTTTTGTGCAGCTTTAGGCCTTTTGCCTAGCATAGATTACCAAAGAAGCCATGAAAATACATACCAGAAATATATAACAAGGAGTTTGACTTGTCTTTGTTTGAGCCCTGAGGGCAACTGACCACCACACAGCATTCACTAACCCCTTCTCCTCAAGCACTGGGAAGGAGGAAAATTAGTCAAAAGGCTCAGGAATTGAGATAAGAACAGTGAGGGTCACTCATCCATTAACGGTCACAGGGGTAGCAGGCAAAAGATGTGCTCATTAAGGGAAGAAGAACATCTCTTTAATTCAAACACTAACAAAGCCAACACTTGACAGAATGGGACAGTGAGAAACAGTTATCATATCTTAAAACAACTACCCTCACCCCTCCCTTCTTCCCAGTTTTGTTCCAATATTTCTGCCTCAGTCCCCAGCAGCAGAGGGGCAGGGGTGAGGGGTGCAGTCAGTCCACTGCTTCTTCCTCTAAGGCAGGAAGGAAGCATTCTCCTGCATTGTTCCCCCTGCTCCACATGGCATCCCTCTCAAGAGTGACAGTCTTCCACAAACTTCTGATTCGCAGAAAAAAGATGCTACAACTTGAATAGTTATAAAGCAGGGATGTTTACTCCAGTGGTGGGGTGCAAGGGGATCTCTCCACAAAGATTGCACATCCACTGCACATTTTATCAGAAACATATAGAGTGTGAATATACATATTAATTGGATTACATAACACATACATTTGCATGAGTAAGGCAGGGTTAGTTCAAAAGGCTGATGTCAACAGTTTATGTCATCTTTGTACTTGCGCATTGCCTCCTGGTGGTCATCTTCAGGGGTCTTTGGGAGGAAAGCTCATAGTCTTTCTCACCTTGTACTTTTCCCTGGAGCATGCACAGATTCTCTTGGCCAATTTCTTGAATAACAGGAGTGGTTTTCAGCTGGTTTATTTTCTATCTTATCTAAGAGAACCAATAGAACTTCCACCATTTGTATATGGCTATTTTTACTCATTAGCAAAATTCCAACTAGTTAGAGCACATATGTTTCCCAACGGCAAAAATATACTTTGTTGAACACTGCAGTTCTGGGTAGATTTTCACAGTGAACTGCTTTGTTTTGATGAACACAGTAGTCCTTAGTAAAATTCCACAGAACAGTCTGGGCAAGCAGGATTCTTAGCAATATTCAAAAATACTATAGGTAACTCTAAGTTGCTGTAAGTAAGTAAATAAATTGCTAAGCAGTTTGATATAAGTAAATAACTAAATAAGTCTCAAAACAATTAATCATTTCTCTGTATCACTTCTTCCATGGTGAGTCCTCTCCATGGAATGCATTCTTCTTGAGATGCTGCATTATGGGTCACCTCCACATGTTGCAGTCCTCCCAGCACTGAACTACAACAGCAGGGGATGGTTCTTCCCACAGAGTCCTGGGGGTCCTCCACAGGCCACAGGTGAATCTCTGTTCCTCTGGTGACCTCCATGGGTGGCAGGTGTGTGTGAGAACGGACGGATGGATGGACACTTCCACCTCACCACTGGTTATAAGGGGGCACCCTTCTTTGGCACACCTGCCTCCCTTCTTCCTCCTTCCGTCCACTGACCTTGGTGTTTGCAGAGGTCTCCTGATGCAGTAGAGACGCTCAAGCGACAATCAATAATCAAGTCAGAGGCAAAAGAAGCACTTTATTGTTCTCTATGTACTTTATATATCTTTTTTCAGCTACCGCAAGCTCTAACACAATTGGCTAAACCCATAGCAACGGTCTAAACCCATAGCAATGGTATATGATTGGATAGCTTTATATCTTTCTTAAAGTTTTACTTCCGAACATAATTCACATAGTTTCTTGTCTGTGGTCAGCAGTTCCATATATCTCGCAGAAAATGTTCCCTGTCCTAGCTTACTCAGTTCTTTTTTCTTGTGTGGTATGCCTTCCTGCATGTAGGCCTCTCACGGGTATGGGACAATCTGGCTAAGGTCAAACTCCATCTGTTCTGTCAGGTGTTCAGCAGACCCGCTGCCTACCCTGACAATTCCTCCTTTTTGTGTTTGTGCTACAAGCATTGCATGAGCAGCCTTCTGCAGGGCCCTTTGCAGAAGGCGGATGACATGGCAACATTAGGAGCACAGTTATGATGACTAACAGGATCATTCCAGTGGTTCTGATCAAAGAGATCAGCCAGCCCAATAACCCCCAGCCTTTAAACAACTTTGTTAGCCAATCGAGACCATCATCTTCTGTTAAACGCTTAACACATCTTTTAACTGTTGTATGCTCTTATGGATCGATTCAGAATGATCTACAGTTGCTAGGGAAACCTGGTTGCAGCAAGGATTTAGAATACTTTTCCTTATAAGCTGGAAATCCTACACGATGTGTCCATCTATAGGTGAGGCATCCAACATCTCTGCAAGCAGGTCCAGCCTCTAAATCAACAGGCCAAAATAACTAGCAATTTTCTTTGTGCAGAAATATCTGATTGCATCCTCCTGTTGGGTTCCACCCAGAGCCTGGCCACCACTCAAGGGGGAAAACCTTGGAGTTTCTAATAAGGTTAAACACTTGAGTTCTTAATTCTTGATATTGCTAAACTAAGTGAGTTGAAAACACACATTCTTATAGCATGTCATCCTCATGAATAACTACCATTAAGGATCTGCAATTACTGTTAGCATTTTCTCATAAAAGAGTTGGCAACCATAGTGTGATTAAGAACAGAGTCTGTTTTGTCCTATTGCAGTAGCAAGCGTTACCCATACATTCTGTTTAAATGATCAGTCGAAGAGATCGCAAACTGTCAGCACAGGGGCACTCACAGCACCCATAGCTGGATCCTGAGTGCTGGCTGACTCTCACGCCCAAGTTATAGTTGTACACACCTTGCCAGTAACTATCGGGAGCCGTGACCTGTGGAAACACAAGCATAACGTCTTCCCCAGGTTAATAACTTACATGGTCCACTTCACTGGCCAGTAGCTAAATCTTTGTACTTTGATGCCCTTTTGCAAATTCTGTTTTGAAAAAAGAGGAGTGTTGAAAAAGAGGTGGCAAAGAAGAATTATCCTCATAATGGGAAAGTTAAGAACATAAACTGCTTTGTCTAAACATGTCTGTAGTGGTTCCGCAACCATTACCCCTTTTTGTTTTTGAAGCGGCCTCTTCAACGTGCCATGTGCATGCTCAACAATTGCTTGTCCTGTTGGGGAATGGGGAATCCCTGTAACATGAGTAACACTGCATGTATTAAGGAACGTTTGAACTTTCTGGAAAAATATGCTGGACCGTTATCCATTTTAATTTGGCGTGGCACCTCAAGCACAGAAAAAGCTTTCTGTAAATGTCGGATTACATCCTTGCTCGTTTCTCCATTATGTGTTGTTACTACCAAAGCATGTGAATAAGTATCAACAGAAACATGAACATATCTTTGCTGGCCAAATTTGGTTATATGAGTAACATCAGTTTGCCAGATTTGTAAAGCTTGAATACCTCTGGGATTAGTACTGAAATACACTGGAGTTCCTTGACAATCAGGACAAGCAGCAACCATAGACCGAGCTTCAGAATGAGACAAACCAAACTACTGTCGTAGAGCTCAAAAACCTTGATGAAAAAGTTGATGTGATAGAACAGCTTGTTGTTTCATATTAGGAACAGTAGTCAAAGCCATCGCAGATACAAGAACATCAGTTCTGTCAATACCTTCCATATAAAATCCAGGTAAAGTGGTATGACTACGTATGTGCATGATAAAATAGGATTCTGTGCGTGACTGAATACTTTTCCAGAGTTCTAAAAAAACCTCAAATGACATTAGATTGTTTGACCAAGTTAAGACTACTTTGTCCAATCGGGAAACTAAGCTAGCCACATAAGCTGAATCAGTTACAATATTAATAGGAGTAGGAAAAGTAGAAAAAACAAGAGTCATCACACGCAGTTCAACAATTTGTGGAGAACCTTTTTGGTAAACAAATTTGTTATACCAGACATTATTCTCATACCACACCACTGCTGCTTTACCAGTTTTTCCTGATCCATCTGTGAATACGGTAAGATCTTTGACACGTTCTGGCTGGCTCAAGTGCTTGTGACTGAATGGTATATCTTGAGCAGTTTTCAGTAGCGGGTGTGATGGAAGAAGATAAGACACCCGTCCCTGAAAGTCCGCTAAGGCCGCTTGTAACTCATACTTGTTTGCAAGGCACCACTCAAAGTACCAGTTCTGAATAGGTAAAACAATTGTAGATGGATCATGCCCTGTTAGCTCCAAACAGCGTTTTCTAGCTTTTATGATCACATCAGCAATTAACTCAAATAATCCAGGAGCAGTTTTCCGTGGTCTGAATGATAAAAACATCCATTCTAAAATGTGTAAAGTGTCACACCACTCAGGATTCCACTGCACCAAGGCACCGAATGGCAGTTTTGTCAATTAGTACAAAGAATTGTACCAATTGAGACAGATCTCTTTGAGAAACAAACTTTTGGTGTATGGATTGCTCCACAATATGAATTGCATTTAATTCTTCCTTATTTAATGTTCTGGGTTCTGTCGGATCATTAGAATTCCTTAACAATTCCTGCAATGGTTGCAGCTGAGAATTGTTCAGGCTGAAGTAAGGTCTGATCCAATTCAAAGATCCCATTAATTTCTGTATATCATTGAGTGTTTTAACCTCCAGGTCAGGTTTCACAGGTTGGGGAATAACCTGCTTATTCGTAACTGTCATCCCCAAATATTTCCAGGGTTGTGGGGTTTTTGCACTTTTTCAGGGGCAATAATTAATCCATATTGTTGCAATGAGTCTCTAGTGAAATTTTCCATGTCACTTAACTGCTCCTTGCTATTTAATGCCAACAAAATGTCAGCCATATAATGATAACAACTGGTAGGAAATTTTTCTCGTACAGGTGATAATGCTTGCACCATGAACCATTGGTATATTGTTGGGGAATTTTTCATGCCCTGTGGTAATACCTTCCAGTGGTATCTTTGTACAGCTTCTGCATGATTAACAGAAGGCACAGAGAATGCAAATTTTTCTTTGTCCTGAGAAGCTAATGGTATTGTAAAGAAACAGTCTTTCAAATCTATAACTGTGATTTCCCAATTGTAGGGGATCATGGCAGGTGAGGGCATACCTGGTTGCAGAGCCCTCATCGTGGCCATAAGAGCATTAACATCCCGCAGGTCATGTAGAAACCTCCATTTACCTGTTTTCTTTTTGATTACAAATACAGGAGTGTTCCAGGGGCTCTGAGACTTTTCAATGTGTCCAGCAACCAACTGTTCCCGTACCAATTCTTGCAGGGCCTTTAACTTTTCAATTGGCAGGGGTTACCTATCTACCCACACAGGGTCAGTTCTTAACCAGGTTAATTCCAGTGTAGGCCGTTTAACACCCTGAGGAACAATGGCCCCCGTCAAAACATCCATAGTAATTTTCATACCTCACTGTAAAAAGCAGTCCCTTCCCCACAGATTCGGGGGGGAGAGGGGGGGGCTGTTGTCATATGGGATTGACAGTCACCTGTTGACCCTCAGAGTTGGTGATCAGAATAGGCACAGCTGATACTCCTGCTTGCATCAACCCTCACAGTGCTACTACTCTCATTTCCATATTTTCTCTTGGCCAGGTGGATGGCCAGAAATAATGAGATATAATAGTTACATCAGGTCCTGTGTCCAGAAGTCCTCTGGACTTTTGTCTTCTGTTGTATAGTGTACAGGTTATCTGTGGTCTTGATGATGAACAAGTCTGTGACTAGAAGTCTTGTGAAGGTCCTGTGGAGCTGAATCCTCAATCATGTCGCAACTGTTTTTCTTTCTTAGGAACACAACTCAAAAAAGGTACAAGTTGAGCAATCCAAGTGTCTTTTGGAATGGTTACTGGCGGGTAAGGAGTAGAAATCATAGAACAAATTTGTCAAGTAAATTCAGCATCAATAATCTGTGAGAGAACAGAAACCAGGCATGTGAGAAACTAAGACAAACAGCCTGGGAAAGCAAAAGTTGAGGCTGATTGAAGAAATTCTTCAAACACTCGCAAGACAAAACTGTGAGTCACAGGGTGCATGCTGTGGAGGCCGAAGCTGATAATGCTGCCCGATGTATGTGGGAGAGAGAGCCCTGTGGAGACAGGACGGCTCTGCTCTGGGACACCTGGGCAAATGTCAAGGGCCATGTGTCTGGTGAATGAACTTTGCTTCATTATCCACAAAATGCATATTAAAGTTGACGCCCCTCAATATGCTAACGAGGGCTGTCATGAACATGCTAATTACATCATCCCATGAAAAACCTTACCCCTCTGCGTACATGGGATACGTAGGTCTGTGGGTTGACCTAGGGGACGGACCCATGGGAAGTGGGTATAAATCAAAGGGGAGAAGAAAGGGCTCTCTCTCTCTCTCTCTGCCCCTCTCCCTGCACACCCCCCACCCCCATCCGAGCAGACCTTTCGGACGAAGTGATGGACAGAACTGAAAACTAACGAGATGGTGGTAATTGCTTCTCAAAGAATACGTATCAATACCAAATGGATTGTCCCTTCTTTCTAACCATCATTGTTTTGTTATGCATATATTTGTTTTACAGGATATTGATCCTGGATGACCAAAGACCTATGTTACTATTTGTAATCTGCTTACATTGTTATATAATTTGTGGAATCATACCTGCTAAGTGTGAAGAATCTACTTATTAGAAGGCTAATCTGGATTTGTGCCTTAAGTTACCTTATTGGGAATCACCTCCAAAATTAAGGAAGTCTGTGAGTCACCTATGACAGCACACTGATGCTTACAAATATCATATAACCAATAGCAAGATGAAGTAGTCAAAGACTAGCTGGAGGGGTCTGGTCCCACAAATTAAGCATTAATAAATTGTACCTGAATATTAAATTGTATTCCCATTTAAATCCTTATTGACCTTCTAATGTGACTGTGTAACCTCAAAGAGTTTTAGAAAATTTAACTTGGCATATGTATGTACTAACAAGGTATACCTTTAAGGAATTAAAGGTGCAGATCCACCAAGCATCTAGGATGGCGTTGCAAAATCCAGCTAGCACTGCTGAAGTAACATGGACTGTGCAGTGTGCTGAGTCTGACTGAGGGAGAATGCTGCATCCCCATCCACAGTACACCTCTGCCATCACCTCTACAGAGGAGACCCATGCCACAATGAAGAAGATTGCCAACAGGAACAGAGAACTTTTTCAACTGAAAAACAACCCAAGAGAAATACAGAAAGATTACTTACATGCTCCAGTAGCATCCCCCAAGTTAAGATGGTTTTTGATGTGTGAGAATAAAGAAAGAAGGTACAAACAAGGACAGAAAAAAATAATAGTAAATAAAATCTCTGTGCATTATAGTTCTATAAAGGGGTAGATAAGACAGTAATTTCCCAAATAATAGAATCAAATGTAAATCAAGGTACTTTTGCTTTGAAAAAAAAAAAACAAACAAAACAAACAAAAAAAACACAAAAAAAACCCAAACCAAAAACAACAACAACAACAACAACAAAAAAAAACCAAAACCCAACCAAAAACCCAAACCAAAGAACAGAAACTTGGGGAGGGCCTTGGTTAAGTCCTAGATGGATTATTTTCCTTTTTTTTTTTTTTTGTTTAATGAATAAAACTATGACTGACATACTTTGACAGGCTTCTTTTTAGAGATGTTTAATATTAATCTGGAAAGACTTGCTACCAATAGGTAACAACACTGAATTGCTATTAAAGAATTGCTAATTCTTATGTCTTTCTCCATAATTAGTTTGCACTACGAAAGGTTCTTTCTCAGTCATTGAAATAATTCCAGTTTCAGTGTTACCATAGTCTTCATCATCATCTTGTTAGCGTTTTAATTTCAAGCTGCTACCATGCCCATATTTATGGTTTTAGAGTGATAATCCTCATAAAACTAGTTGGCATACAACCCCGCAGTTTTCATTTCTGGGGTAGTTACTCCTCTTTCCCTGTGTTTTCCTAGAAATCAGTTGCTGTGCAAGAACTCCAAAGGTAGCTTAATTTCATTTTCCAATGTTATTCTAGTAGCAGTTATGTTGAGAACAACAGCAGTAGTAGAATTCCTTCTTTGCATTTTCCCATCCTTTGTCTGTTTTTCTTATATAAATTTTTCTAATATTGTTCTAGGAAGTACTTTTACACTTGCTGTTATAGATATAGGTGATCTACTCAGGGAAGTGGAGCGGAGTCCCTTCCAAAGTCTCCCAAAGATATGGAGCACATATTATGTTCACAAGCTGTACTGGAATGATAGGAAATAAAAGGTATTTTATTATATACAGTTTATGTATTCTCAACTTCCGACTTTTATTTATACCTTTAACTTTACTGTTCAAGTGTGGTCACTCCTGACACTATTGCTATCAATATTGCTGGCTTAATCTGAACAGAGAAAAGAACAATATCTAATACTCATATTGGGTCTGGCCAGGTTGAAATTAACTTTCTCCATAACAGAACTCATAGAGCTGTGTTCTGTAGCAAGAACAGTGTTGATAACTGTGTTGGATTAACCCTGCTAGGACTTGAGAGAACGTTGCTGTTGCCCCTCCCCCACCATCAACTGGTTGGGCTGGAAGTGAGGCACAAACCCCCAGGTTAAAATAAGAAGAAATTTAATACAACAGTGTGATAAACAATCTGAACAACAACAGTGGCAATGATAACAACAATAAACAGCAATAGCAGAAAGCAAGACAAACGATATACAAAGAAATAACGCAAATGGTCAAGGAACAAACCCAACATGTGCTTCCTGACAACAAAAAGCCACCAAGGGAAAGAAAAAAATTAGGTTCCCGCCTGGACCTGACATCAGCATGTTATGAGTAACACGGCTGGAGATCCCTTACCCCTCTCTCTCTGCTGAGGAAACTTAAACTTATCCTAGCTGAACCAGGACATAATCCACCCCTTTATTCTATACCATCTGTGTCATGTCCAGCTGCCATTTAGCAGTTAACAATAACAAAACAACAATTTACAAAGGCACAGCATAATTCATGGCATGTTTTCACCCAGAATCAAGTCCCCCTATGGTACACATGGGACCTCTTCATTGTCCTGCATCACCCACCAGGTGCACCCAGGTCCTTGGGCAAAAGGAATCCTGTGGACGGGTTTGTTTTGGAGAATGGCTTGCAGAGAGCAAGGCCATAGCTCCCTGCAGGAGCTGGTCGCAGCCACCTGAGGTAAACAGACGAATAAACCTAGGGTACAGTTATGCTAACAAAGGACTGTTATGTTAACAAAGAGAAAAACTGAAGTACATTATGGCCTTGTGTATGATAAAGGAACGGCCTTGGAAAAGAGAGCAGGCCAGAAGAAGGAAGGTGTTGTGACATGCCTGAAATGCCACAAGGGGCTGGGATATTATAATGTAGCCTTTTACATGTATCCAATAGATTTGTGAGTAGTATGTATGATTATTGTAGAGTTCTTATATAAGGTGTGAATTATTTCAATAAAGTTCAAGCTTGTTCTATCATTCACATTGAATCGGCTGCTTGCTTCCTCCGTCCGCCGCAAGTGGTGCACCGAACAGGGTTACCCGAACTCTGCTTTTCCACCGAACGGAACCCGGGAAGTGGCAGAACGGACTCAGAGTAGGAAGGCAATGATGCCACCTCCTCGGCACCAGCTGCAGGTGTTCATTCCGAGAAGGGCTACCCCGGAAAGGCTGCAGTAGGGGACTTACCCAGGAAAGGCCAAGGAATTAAGGAATTAAGGAATTAAGGAATTAAGGAATTATTAAGGAATTAAGGAATTAAGGAAACTGGTCATTGGCTACCTGATCGGATGTTAAAGAAGGTTGTTAAACTACACGGTCCAGCATTTTAAGGAATTTAAGGAATTTAAGGAATTTTAGACTGGGCAGGAACAAGGAACGAGAGGTAGTCCTTCAATTTTTGCGTTTTAGAAAAGTGGGGAGTAAGCCCGATAAAGACTTTGCTGCGCTGATTGGTCTGGGCAAGGCTAAGGGACACTTTAAAGAGCCAAATTTATTGTTTGAAGAGGCAGAATGGTGTGATAATCTTTTATACCCTGATGCTGTAAATCCTGAAAAAGAATCTGGGCTGTCTGGTCTGTGTCCTCCCTTAACTGAGGATGATCCGGTAAAAGTGAGGGAAAAAAAAAAAGTAAAAGTGAGGCGAAAAAACCTTGGCACAAGGGAATATGGATATGGCAAGAAAAATTCTTACTCCTGTAAGCTATGAGCGAGTCATCAGCCACGTTGGGAAGAACAGCATTTTTCTGTTATTAAAGATTTAGAGAAAAGCATTAATAAGAACGGGCTGCAAAAACTCAGATTACAACAGCTGTACTGGAGGCGATGGCTCAGGGATACCGATTGGCCCCAAAAACTGGCTAACACTTTTAAGAAAAAAATGGCATTCACGCCAGCACAGTACTCTATCTGAAAAAACGAGCGTGTACATCTCTGTGCTCAGCGTTCGGAGCTGGTGGCAGCGGCCCGGGGCTTCCCGAGCCCCCCCGCCGTGAAGCGGCTGCCTGAGGATGAGCCCAGCACTGCGCTCTCGGCATTCCACACCCAAACCCCCACCACCACCAAAAGCGGCAGGGTTATGCAGCACAGGCTTTATATGTTCTTAATGGAGTCTTCGTATTGGTAATATTTGTCATTTTATGTTGTGAGTAATAAGTGTCAGGAGCTCCTTTGTGTAGTTGTGTGATTGTGTGTGTGTGTGTTTGAGACGCGGCCCACTGCAGCTGTGGAGTTCTCCGGCCAGGGAAGCGGTCGACGAAGAACTACAGGGTCCTAGTGCCCACCCGCTGGGTCATCAGTGCTCTGGTTTGTTTGGGCTCAGTTTTCTAAGTGTTACATGTGAAATACCTCCTCTAAAGGGAGGCAGTAATTCTGTGTTGATTGTTGTTTTGAATTTAGGTGCATACTCTGCGGGGAGAGTGCACCTCTGAACCATCTGCCTAATGGAAATATTGGTTAAAAAAAAAAAAAAAAAAAAAAAAAAAAAATCATCTGCAACCTTACAGGGGTTGTTTGTTTTACCAGGGGTTGTAGATGCTGATTATGAAGAGAAAAATCAAAATTATGGTCTGTACCCCTGTGTTCAGTAACAAAAAAGTAAAAAAGTGTTCAGCTTGTTAAAGAAGCCACAATTAATCAGGATTTGGATCAGTAGGTACTCATTAAATATTCTTGGATTTAAACATGACACAAAGTTAATTTTGGTAAAAAGTACTCTCGTTAAAGCTAAAAAAATCTGTTGAGCTGACAGGCATTTTAGATACTGGTGCAGATGTGACCATAATATCTGTGAGCAGATTGGCTGTTAGCTCTGGTACCTCAAATGCTTTTCAGGGTTGGTGGTCATGCTGTAGCAATTTAAAGCAAGGATCTCATTCATGTAAGAGGCCTAGAAAATTGGGTAGCAAATATTAATCCATTTATATTAGAAAATCCCTATTACATTTTGAGGTCATAACTGTATGACTCAATGAGGAACTCAAATTGGATTAAATTTGTCTTAATCACCACTGTATCACAACCCACCCTGAAACCCACCCTGACACTAACCTTGTAAACCCAATCACCTGTGTGGATTGTCCTGCAACAACATACAACTGTTATTAAGACTTTAAAAGATTTACAGACACTGTTAGGAACCATAAATTAGATATAGCCGTCGTGGGCCTAACTCATGATGATCTGCATAGGTTATTTGATATTTTGTGAAAAGATCCTTCACAGACATCACCCAAAGTACTTAGAGAGAAGTCAAAACAAGATCTTCACCGCATAGCCAACACCATCTCAAACAGACAAGCATCGCAAGTATACTGCATTCGCCCTTAGGACAAATCATCATAGAAAGAGCACTCCAAATCTTGAAAGTGCTTTTGCAAAAACAAAAGGGGGGAGAGATCTTGGCTCCAGGAAAACCATTTGCTCTGCTCTAAAACACATGCATTTTTTTTCCACCAGAATGTCAGAGCAATACAAAACCAGGTTTCTTTGTCAAGGCATCAAGCTGAAGACATCACTGCAACTTGCCCTGAATACCAGAAAGACTCCATCTCTTCAAACCTTTTAAACATCTCTGCTGTGATACAGGTATCACCAATATTGTGTCATTTTTCATCATAGATACCAGATCAACAAGAAGTACTAAGCAAAGCTCAAGTGTTAACAAAAATCTAAAACGGGGTAACTGGGAAGGACCATTTCCTTTAATAACCTGGGGAAGAGGTTATGCTTGTGTCTCCACATGTCTCAGTCTCCAATGGTCACCAGCAAGGTGTGTGCAACCACACCTGAGCCGTGAGAGGCAGCCAGCACTCAAGATCCAGCTGTGGGTGCTGTGGGTGCCCCTGTGCGGACAGTTTGTGATCTCTTCGACTGATCATTCAAGCAGAATATCTGAGTAATATTTGCTACTGCAACAGAACAAACTACACTACAGTTGCCAATTATTTTAAGAGAAAATTCTAACAGTAACTGTAACTTCTTAATGAAATATATAAGCTTACTAGTCACTTATGCAATATGTGCTTTAGATAAAATATAGTTATTAATAAGGATAAGATGCTGTAAGAATGTGTGTATACAACTTTCTTTGTTTAGTAATATTAAGAATTAATAACTCAAGTGTTTAACCTTATTTAGAAACTCCCTTGGTTTTCCCCCTGGAGTGCTGGCCAGGCTCCAGGTGGAACCCAACAGGAGGATGAAATCAGATGTTTCTGATCAAAGAAATTTGCCAGTTATTTTGGCCTGTTGATCCAGAGGCTGGACCTGCTTGCAGCAACTTTGGATGCCTCACCTACGGATGGACGCATTGCGTAGGATTTCCAGTTTGTGAGGAAGGGCACTCTGAATTCTCGCTACATCCAGGGTTCCCTAGCAATTGTGGCTCTAAATATTAGTACTTCTATTAATTAAGTGTGCTACTCCGTATTTTCCTCACTGTTTATTTTGTAGTGTTTAGTCATATCCCTTGAATATAAGCAATATGGGATGTTTTGTACTTAATAGGTTACCTGTGACAGTTTATTGCGGTGATTAGCAATAGTATTATGGATTGTAGTATGTATTAGAATAGCATATAGTTGTATAATGAGAAATATTAGTAAATTTATGCTTGTGCAGCCTGCACAAAAAGAAAAGGGGGAATTGTTGGAGAACGGCTTGCCGAGAGCAAGGCCATGGGTCTCCTCAGGAGCTGATTGCAGCCATCTGAGGTAAACAAAGGAAAAAACCCAGGGTACAGTTATGCTAACAAAGGACTGTTATGTTAACAAAGAGAGAAACTGCGGTACATTATGGCCTTGTGTATGATAAAGGAACGGCCTTGGGAAAGAAAGCCGGGCAGAAGAAGGAAGATGATGTGACATGCCTGAAATGCCACAAGTGGCTGGGATATTATAATGTAGCCTTTTACATGTGTCCTATAGATTTGTGAGTAGTATGCATGATTATTATAGAGTGCTTATATAAATTGTGAATTCTTTAAATAAAGTTCAAGCTTGCTCTATCATTCACATTGAATCGACTGCTTGCTTCCTCCACCCGCTGTAGACTTGCCTTTACCTTTGCCTGGCTCAGGACTAAGCCAGACCATTTCTCCCAATGTGTTCCTCATGCGCACCACAGTGACTTTATCCCCATCTACAGCACATGGAGGTTTTGAATGAGCCGGGCCAGCTTGACTGGCAGATCATATTGTGTTAACTAGTCAGATGGCCTTCACTAGATGCATGTCCCAGTCTTTGATGGTCCCACCTTCCAGTGCTTTCAGTGTGTTTTTTAACAGTCCATTGTAGCTCTCAATCTTCCCAGAGGCTGGTGCGTGCTAGAGGATATGGTAGACCCACTCGATGCCGTGTTCTTCTGCCCAGGCATTTATGAGGTTGTTTCGGAAGTGGGTCCCGTTGTCAGACTCAATTCTCTCTGGGGTGCTGTGTCGCCACAGGACTTGGATTTCAAGGCCCAGGATGATGCTCTGGACGGTGGCGTGGGGCGCTGGGTAAGCTTCCATCCATCCAGTGGTTAATTCCAGCATTGTGACCACGTGGCACTTGCTTTGGACGGTCTGTGGCAGTGTGATGCAGTCGATCTGCCAGGCCTCTCCATATCTATATTTCAGCCATCGCTATCCATTTCGCTGGGGATTCACCTGCTTGGCATGTTTGATTGCAGCACACGTCTCACATCCGTGGATGATCTCTGCAATGGTGTCAATGGTGAGGTCCACCCCTCCATCTCGAGCCCACATGTATGTTGCATCCCTACCTTGGTGCACGATGTCTCATGGGCCCACTGAGCTATGAACAGTTCACATTTGCGCTGCCACTCCAAGTCCACCTGAGCCACTATAATCTTAGCAGTTTGGTCTGCTTGCTGGTTGTGTCGATGTTCAACAGTGGCCTGACTCTTGGGTACATGGTGCATCCACATGGCACACCTTCTTAACGAAGTTTTCCACACGGCCTGCAATGTCCTGCCATACTTCAGCAGCCCAGACGGTCTTACCCTTATGTGCCAGTTGTTCTGCTTCTAGTGCTGCAAACATTTCTGCAGGGTATTTGCCAGTTGTACCGGAGCCCCACCTTTCTCCAGCGCAGTATGGACCAGTCCATGGCAAATGGTGGAGCTGTGGTTCCACCCCTGGGGCAATCGATTCCAGGTGTACTGGATGCCTCTCCAAGTGAAGAAAAACTGTGGCCTGCACTCTGGCGCGATCGGAATGCAGAAGAACGCGTTAACAATGTCAATTGTGGCATACTACTTGGCTGCCTTCGACTCCAGTTCATATTGAAGCTGTAGCATATCCGGCACTGCAGCACTCATTGCTGGCGTAACTTCATTCAGGCCACAGTAATCCACATTTAGCCTCCATTCACCATTAGGCTTTCTCACTGGCCATCTAGGGCTGTTGAAGGGTGAGTGAGTTTTGCTGATCACCTTCTGGCTTTATAGTTGACGGATCAGCTCATGGATGGGGACTAGGGACTCTCGGTTGGTGCAGTACTGCCACTAGTGCACCATCCTGGTAGCAATCGGCACTCGCTGCTCCTCAACCTTAAGCCCCACCACCACTCAGGAATCCTCTGAGAGGCCGGGTAAGGTTCACAACTATTCAACCTCCTCCAGGGCAGCCACATCCTAAGACCACCGGTACCCTTTTGGGTCTTTGAAGTACCCTCTCCTGAGGTAGTCTATGCCCAGGATGCACGGGGCATCTGGGCCAGTCACAATGGGGTGCTTATGCCAGTCCTTCCCAGTCAGGCTCACTTCAGCTTCCAATAGGGTCAACTGCTGGGATCCCCTTGTCACTCCGGAGATGCAGATGAATTCAACCCCACTGTAGCTTGATGGCATCAGGGTGCAATGTGCACTAGTGTCCACAAAAACCTTATATTCTTGTGGGTCTGACGTTCCAGGCCATCAGACCCACACTGTCCAGTAAATCCGATTATCCCTTTCCCCCAACTGGCTGGAGGCAGGGCCCCTCTAATCTTGCTCATCCTCACTCACTTCTTGAAAGAATGATTTACTGGTCCCCTCAAGAGGATCAGACATAACGTTCACCATTCTATC